CTGATATTAAATGTTATGATACAAATCTATCTCAGTATACATATAATAGTGCAAAAGATAAATTGTATTATAAACCAACGTTTCATATTAATACTGATGGACTTCGTCCAAATATTCTATCTCATTTTGAAAATTTTCTGATTGCTCATGATTGTACATTAATATCACAATGGGACACTACAAATTTTTCACACAAAAAAAGTTTTTATTTACTTGATCAAGGGTGCGAACATGTTGCCTTTGATAAGGATAAAACAATAGTCGTATTACATTATACAACTAATTCAAAATTGGTAGTTTACTCAATGGAACGGAATATTACCATTTCTTCATGTAAGTATTAAATAATTTTTTTATAAACAATTAAAAATTTATAATTTTAATAATAAACAACAACAATAATAAATATATATTGGTTTTTTAGTTGATTTGGGAAAACATAACGTCGTTAAGAAGTTGGATTTTATTTATTCAAAACATACAGACTATCAATATTTATTAGTAATAACTTTTAATGATGATACAAAAAAATATAATTGCAAAATAATGGATCCTTATGGTCTTGAAAATGCTATTGACAATACAGATTATTTTTATGAAAATATTATAAATGTTACAACTAAAGATATTTCATTTGGACCAATTTTTCAAGATAATAAAATGATTATAGTCCATGATAATGAAATTTATGTTAAAAACGTTATCAGCAATGAAATGTTAGATGATGTCGAACAAATACATATAAAAAATAATTATAATTTATATATTAAGAAAATATTACTTGAAGTATACGAGAAGGCTTGGGATTATACCTTAATACCAAATACTATTATCAAACCAGGAAAATCTATTCAATGGATAGCAACATATCATGACGATCGTTCTCGTATTATCATAAAAGTCCAAAAAAAAATTGATGATGAAGAAGAAATATGGAATACGATTGACGAATATCCAATATATTTTAGAGATAAATTTATACATTGCAGAGTGTTAATTAATGATGATTTATTTTTAACAACAAATGACACTATACAAATTTTATCATTAAACAATCAGTCTAGAATATTTGTCAAATATATTAAAACAGTCTTTTTTCACATTGAAGGAACTGATGAAGAGATCAAAGAGACTCGATTAGAAAAGCTTGAATCATTAAATAATTCTAATACTATTGAAGAACATTTATTTGATTTTGATAATATATTTCTAAATAGTGCCTGGTCAAATATCGGTCATGAAAATAAGAATACTGGGCAGCCTTATAAAACAATGATTTTACACATGTTAGATGATTTCTATTATTTAAGTAAATATGGAAGAGAAATTCTAGATAGAGCTTTAGATGGAAATGATGGTGTTATCGTAGAAAAAGTACTAAATTCTTGTCTTAATCACTTTACGAATGATATTGAGTCAAATCTTAGTATATTGTGTATAGTTGTAGCAGAATTGCCAAGGATAGAAAAAACCTATTATAAATTATTATCAAGATTTTTTGCTCGGACTTCTATCATATTATTTCCATTTGAGAATTCAACTTACCCCGTTACTAAATTTTATAAAGCTAATTGTGAAGATGATGACTTGATAATTGTTAAACAAAACGAGGGTTCTATTCAGGGTTACATTTGTAGTTTTTATCAAATGGGCAAAGATTTTGTAAATAAATATATTCATGATTTTAATCATTTTGATGAATATGAGAAAAACATTACATATAAATCTTGTGTGAGATTAATAATTCCTTTCCCTGAGCTATATACTTATAAAAAAGACTATTCATTTTGGAAAGAATTATTATACAAGCCAACAAATAATGCATTTGTTGAATTTGATACTTTGGAAATGTTTAAACATTGGAATGGCAAAGTGCTGTTGGATTTAAAATGGGATAGATTTGGGTATAAATATTATTATGGAATTTGGTTCATTTACATGATATTTTTATTAAGCTTTTCTCTTGCAACTTCTACAAATGACGATCTGTTGAATCCGAGCATCAAAATCTCGTTATTATATAGCACAATTATTCTTGGATTGTTTCATCTCAATTTTGAAGTTAGACAATTCGTTTGGGACCCAAAAGAATATATATTTGATTTTTGGAATCTTTTTGGTAAGAAATTTATTTTCAAATCATATAAAATAATAATACTATCAACTTAATCGTAGACTAATTGTTAAATTGTTTATTTAATAGATTTTGGCGCTTATTTCATACCAGTTGTTACCTCAATTCTATTGTTGTGTTATCATGAGAAGATTGATAATCAAGCACTCGTTTCGCTGGTTTCAGCATCAAGTTTATTATTAGACTTGAAATTTTTATTATTTTTAAGAGTTATCAAATATTTTGGAATTTATTTTGCTATAGTAATAGGAGTTGCAAGAAAAGTCTTTTCATTTTTAGTAATTTTAACTATAATCATTTTAAGCTTCGCACATGCATTCCACTTATTATTGAAACCAAGTACACCAATTAATATAGACGCAGGCCCTAATTTCGATGATAGTATTAATAATAACCCTTGGAGCCTTGCTACAAGATATTATACATATTCTTTAAGCACTAATTCACGTGTTGAAGATACTTTTCTCATGCAACCACCTGATCAAAATACCAATATGTTTGCATATTATAAGTCTTCAGCGCTTGCAATGTATAATTTCCTTACAGGTAATTTTAATTCTATTTGATTATAAATTACTACTAGATGTAATCAATCATATTTAATATATATATATTTTTTAATAGGCGATAATGGAGCATTTGGACCATGGGAATTAGAAACAAATGCTTACTTGACAATATTAGTAATTCTATTTTCATTCATAGTCGTGGTGTACCTAATGAATTTATTCATTGGTTTGTTAAGTAATGAAATAGATGGTTTTAATAAAGATGAAATATTCTTGCTTCAAAAAGGAAAGGTACTTGTTAATTTATATATATTTATATATATGGTATTATGTATATATATATATATATATATATATATATAACATTACGTTATTATAACAACGATAATAATAACAATATGTTTTTAATTATTGACTTTAGATTCTTAGCGAGATTGAATTATTTTATTTACTTCCCAATCAACGCCGTTGGAAACATTGGTTTCCGGATGTATTGTAAATATTAATTTAATATTATAATTGATTTTCGAATAATTTTCTATTTAATAATAATAAATAAATATTTTGTTGCTTGCTTTTAGACATTATTATGTACCAATTGACGATATTCGGGAAAAAATAAGAGAATATGATAACAGCAAAGAAGGCGTAGAATTTCTTCCATTTATTTCTGACAAACTCAGAAAAATAGCCGAAATGCCTGAACCAGTATCACATGATTCAAAGATTAATTACAGGTTAGAAAAAATCGGAAATAGTCTCGAGAAAAATGAAAATGATCTTAAAGGAATTGAAAGTAATCTTAGAAATGATCTTAGAAATGACATGAAGGAAATCGAAAATAATCTTAAAAATGAATTAATGACACAAATACAAATTTTGATGAATGAAATTAAAACATTAAAAAACAATCAATAATTTTTGTAAAATAGAACGATATTTATTTATAATATAATATATATATGTATTTTTATTTATTTATATTTAATAATTAATTAATTATTCAATTCGGGTTAATAAAATTCACTGCAAATTCACTGCCATTTAAGTCAAGGAATTAAAAATCGTTTAATTGAAAATTTTGTTTAACCATCATTACAACAATTATTGATTGGCCTCTTAAAAATAACGTTGCTTCATAAAATAGACCCAAAATGTTTATCATCTTTTCTGATATAATACGTTGTGCAATTGTAATTGTAAATTTTTTCCCACAACTATTCCAACAAACATGTCACCAATGGCACATTATGTGCTCTCTCTTCTTCCCTCATGTTGTGAATTATTCTTTGTTTTCTTTCTCTTTTGTTGATGAAGATAGTTTAATTTTATAAATGATTATATTAAAAACGTTTGACTTTGATTATTAATGAAATGATAACTATTGCGCATTTGTAATCCCTCGTAATTAATTAATTATTCCCGTTTTAAACTTTTCCTCGTAATCAACTATATTACTATTATATCACGGAAAGGGAAGTTGTACCTCGATCCGGGGAAATTTAACCGAGGTGAATTTAGACGTCAGTATTTGTTTCATATTAATATATGGTTATCCTATGGCACGCCATACTGGATAAAAGTGTACTACATTTTGTTGTAAGAAATAATTGCGACATTGTTGTAAATAATTGCAACATTTTGTTGCAATTTTGATGGGTCTTTTCAGGCTTGACTATTATGACTAAACCAACGTTTAGACTTTAGACGTTTTGACAAGCCTAAAAAAAAAAAAAAATTAGACACCCATATATAATTGCAACAAAATTTAGTACACTTTTGTCCAGCATGACGTGCCATATTATCCCACCACCACGGCCAGAAATAGGATAAACCACCGGGAAAATGTCCGCCGCATTAGTTATTAGGTGAATTATAATATGCCGATCGAATTATGATACTATGGATCCATTGGTGGTAATATTTTAACCATATTTAGTATTTTATGGACTTGTATCTATTGATATATTGTTCTGGATTATTTCCTGGATTATTCATCAACTCACCGTTTGCTGACAAATTTAACAGCTCGCCAGTTAAGGGATAGCTTGACGACTTGCGATCCAATTAATCATCAATCATTGATATTAGTATCAGGTCGTTTTTGTAAAACGTATAAATAACTTGCGAATTTGATCAAAAGTTGATTCTTTTATTAAAATAAAAAGAATAATAAATCAACTGATAAATCAATAAATCACTAAATCAACAAAACAAACAAGTAAATACTTCAGCGTCACTTTTTCGTTTTACACAAAAAATAAAATATTATTCTTGATTTCTATCAATTAATAATTATTATCTTTGATTTTAATTTTAAGGTAAAAATCAAAATAAACATATATCCTCGATTCATCATGAGCAGCTCACCATTCAAAGTAGTAACTATCGTTGGAGCCACGGGTAATTTGGGTTATCATATCGCCGAAGCATTTTTGGACGACGGCTCTTATAAGGTGAAGGTCCTTCGAAGAAAACCGGAAAACGAAAATGAAAAGTCCAAATTGTTGGCTTCTAGGGGCGCAGAAATTTTATATGCTGATTACAGTCAAAAGGATGATCTTGTCAAAGCTCTTAAAGGAACCGATGCTTTGGTCAGTGTCGTAAGTACCGATAAGGGTTCTATTTCCTCTATTCAATCCTCGTTGTTGGCCGCCGCTAAAGAAGCTAATGTGAAGAGGTTCATTCCGTCCGAATTTGGTTGCAGATACAAGTGCGTTTTTATTTTTTTGCTTTTTTTATTTTGTTGTTATTGTGTGTTGTTATTATGATAAACATGTTGATTTTTTTTTTTTTTGTAATGAAGGTTTGGAGCTCATGTGTTCACGGATGATAAAATAAAATTTCAAAAGGAATTAGAAGAAAGTGGGATTGAGTATACTTTCATCTACAACGGATTATTCCAAGAATACCTTACCTGGTTTGCATATGACGTAAAGGACAAGAGAGCCACGTTCTATGTTGATGATAGCACAAAAATTTTCTGCACTTCTTGGCTTGATATTGGAAAATACACCGCCGAATCACTTAAAATACCAGAGGCTCGTAATGCCCATATCCAAGTCGCTGGTGCGGTCTTGACATTAAAGGAATTGCTTCAAAAGTTTGAAAAAGCTAGTGGTGGTGAGTGACTGTTTCGTTTTAAACACAATGCTTTTTTAAAAAAATGGTAACTAATCATATCGTGTGTATTGAAGGCTCAAAGTGGAAAGTTGTTGAAGATAAGGACTTACGAAAACGTTACGAAAACCAGATCCACCCAGTTCCAACATTGCTAGATTATTTCAAACTCGTGATTATGGAAAACATGAGTTTCGATAAGTTAGATAACGACAAATTCAGTTTCACTCCTCGTTCTATCGATGAAGTTGTTAACTTTCTTGTGAAAAACGAGTAAATATAATTTATTTTTGTCTTTTCAAAAATGCCACATGACAATGTGTCCATATACATACCTCTTTGTTGCTTTCTGTTTTAATTAAATTATCATTTTTATTGATTATATAAGGTCCTAAATACCAAATGCCGATTACTTTCATTCAATCATATAAAAAAAGGGCTAGTCAATGTGGATAAAAATTTTATTTTATTTTTTTGGTCGAATTTTTCATTGTTTTATATAATGTTATTTTTTTTGCAAAAAAACAATCAATGAGATATTATAAATTGTATGTTAAATATAAGAAATATAAGAAATAAAATTTTATTACAAAAACCAACTTATTACTATGCAATCACAATTAAAATGTTTTTTTGAATATACATATGTAAACTCGATGGTCGGACTTATCGAGTAAACCGACTTATCGAATTAAATTACTTAAATATTAAGAAAATGGGGTGAAAATTTTGGCCGACCCATCGCGAGATCCGAGTTACCGACTTATCAGTGACCGACTTATCGAGTTTACATAATATATAATAATTTTAAAAAATTCATCATTTAAATACCAGCATTGAAGTTTCTAAAGCCCTATGTTAACTTAGCATTAAATGATTATTATATTTACATTGGTTTTGCTATGCTAGGTATTCTTCTAACAAATGAGACTTTTCACTTCCTAAAATTCAAATTACCTTTATAGTGAAGATGAAAATAATAAATATGTTAGTCATTATCTTTTTTATTATCATCAAAATCCTTTTTTTTTTAATTAAAGCACTGATTAATTGTTATAAATTATATCCATAATATATGCTGGAATAAATACATAATGAAATACGAATTAATATTAATTTTTTATTAGAGATTATTTTTTCCGAGTTAAATGTTATTAAACCACAATAATGGCAATGTTACTTGAAATTGAGCCCGAAACCCAGCATATAAATGAAGCATTAAAAGAATAGAATCTTCAAAAAAATAAATACAACAAAAAAACAAATGATGTTATTATGCACCATCAAGTAATAATTCGTAAACGTTAGATTGGAATTGCGCTGTACTTTTACAAACGAACATATTGATATCAAATAATCACGGAATTTATTCGTTGGTTTGCTTAGCAATAAAATTGAACATCATAATACAAATACAAATGAAGCATTTTTGGCTCAAAAGGCAAAAATTATCATACAGATTGAATTATTTTATTCACTTCCTTATTCAATGTCGTTAGAGATCCTGGTTTCCGAATATATTGTAAATAGAGTAATAGCCATTTAATTAATCAAAGCATTCCTTTTAAAAAAAATTTTTTTTTGTTAGATACTATAATTGCACTAAATAATGAATGATATTCGTGAAAAAATTAAATTTCTGATAGTCTTGGGTCACACACTATTAAAATCAAGTGATCAATTCATGTTTTTAAGGGATTTTTTGCTTAATAGTGTGTAACCCTTAATGATATTCATGATGAATAAAAACCCTATCTTGGAGAACAGCATAGTGGAAGTTTGTTGTTACATGAAACGCTATACAGAACTCATTGCTTCTGAAACTTCGCCAGTATATAGTTGTTACCTCTCTAAATTGGAGATCAAGTTCAGATCCAGTTTATCACTTACTTTTTATTGCCAGAATGTTTGCCGTGTATTGTAAAGCTACGTTGCACAATATAAAAAATTAGTGTAACATTTCAAATTCCCACTATGCTTTGGAAAACTTGTTGGAGAAGTTTAAAAAAAAAAAAACAGCAAATTATTTTGATTCAACAAACTAAAGACAAAACTTGAAGGAAATCCGAGGGAAATAAAATAGAAAATAATATGAAGGAAGTAGAAAATTACAATTATTGACTCAAATGCAAATTTTGTTGAATGAATTATTATTTTATTTTATTATTTAATTTACACAAGGCAACTGATAATCATTATGATTTTTAGAATTCCGAAATCGGGGAAAATTGCCAAGTATTTATTCCGTTCTGATTAATAATCAAGGTATAAAATTTAATCAATAGATCAACTTAATTTCCAGCTACCAATCATTGAAATATCGGCTAAATTTAAATGTTTGTAAGCTCACGAAAAAAAAGATCTTTTGCACAAATAAAAATATAACACAAACCAATAAAATTATCACAATGCATTACAAATCTAGGATTTTAATTCTGAGGCCAAAACTATTTCGGAATTTCGAGAGAGGAGCTCACTCGGGAACCCGAAACTTAATATTTTAACTTCTAACAAAGATGATAGATTAATTTAGGTTAAATTTTCACTAATATAGTTTGGGTAGTTTGGATTATGAGGCTGTGTTGAATTTATTACGATTTTACTATTACTATTACAAATCAAGGGATAAATATATCAAACATAAAATGCTTGTCGGGCAAAAGAATTTATATTTTAGGTCCTGTGACCACAATATCTTTATGGAATATGGTCCTGCCCGTAACTCATGTCTATATTCGAATACTCGTTATTATTATGGATACTCGTAATAATAATAATTATTATTATGGATACTTGTAGCCATCGTAATTATTTCAAATTGGTATTATTAATACTCATAATTATTCGTAATTATTTCGTAATCATATAAATATTCATTTTAAATTCCCATTTGTAAATACGAATATTTGTGAATCATTACGAATATCCAAATTAATTTCGAGTATCCTCCAAATATCCAAATTAATCGAAATAACAAATATACAAACTGATCTTGGGTTACTTTTGGAATTGATGGATAGGCATGTAAACAAATTGTCAACAATAATATTTATGTAACAATAAAAGGTAATACGTATATGAATAAAGAATAATAAATAAGATACTTCTACTGAATATGAAAAGGCACTCTCCATCTTTTAGAAAAAAGTTATTCAAAATTTCAAGAGTTTACAGAAAGAATTACACGAATCATTTCAAACACTCATCCCTCTAAATCAGAATAGGGTGTTTTCTATATTTTCTTAATGACTCAGCTCATAGAAATGGGATGGTATTTTAGCATTAATTGCCATAAACTCTGGATATAAGACCATCGTTTACTAAATGATTTCTCGTATATTTTTCAAAATAAACCTTACCAACTCCAAACACATATCGAAATATCTTTTTATGATACCAGAAAGCAACAAATGGGAATACCAACTTTCTCTTTGAGGCGTCTGCCAATGCTTATTTGATCCACAATCATTAATGGAAAACAAAAATAAAGGATTTTCTTGAAGTTATGCTGAAATTTATGCATGTAAAAACCCAATCACATATATATTCTTGCCAGCAGGGATTTATAAATCTGTTCGATAATAATTCGAAATTATTAAAGTATGATGACATCAGGAAATTTATCAAGCTGTAAATATTTGCATAAAATTGTGTAATATTTACACTGTATGTGATAGTTACACGATTTCTAGATTTTTAGATAATATGTTATATAGTGTGATAATTGCATCAGAAAATCACAAATTCAAATTATGACATTAATCATTATAGGTTTAATGTATTGTTGTATATTATTAATTATTATTAATTATTATTGTTATTTTTTATTATTATAATAATTAAATATAATTTTGACATAATTGTTTTTATTATATAATTGTCATCTATTTCCGTCATCATTATCATCGTCACCACTATCGTCATTATCATTATCGTCACCACCACCATTTTCGTTCCCATTCTCGTTTCCGCCATTTTGTTGGGGTGGTTGTTGAATCGTTTGTTGACAAATGATTAATGTACAAGGGTGAAAAAACCAACCATACGATGTGAACATTGGAAAGAAACATCGTTTAGAAAGGTGAATATGATTGAATTGAATTGAAGAAATAATGTTAAAAAAAAACAACAATTAAACAAAATGTGTGAATATTTTTAATTATTCATTTTTTTTTATTTTTTGAATTGGTCCTCGATCAGATCTATATCTGTCTTTTCAAAAAAATTTTCTGGTAAAAAAAATTAATTCGATTTCATGTACTTTGGAACAAAAAAAAAAAAATTATTAATCTAAACTACTTTAATGATATAATGCAAATAGTGCGATACTTTTGATTTAATAATAATTATTTGAAAATTAATATATATATGAATTCTAAACAAAAATGCAGAGTAATAATATATTAATAATAAAAATATTAATAAAATTATGTAACTTTGATTGTTGCTTCTAGAGCTTTATTAGGATTATTTGAAAATTTTCGTTTTTTCTGAGAAGCGATAAAAGCAGTTCTCATTTTGAAATAGTCTTTGTGTAAACCGCATTCCGTTTTATTTTTTCCTTGCCATCTACCACTTCGTTCATCTGCGGTATTGTCATTAATTGGTTTTGTACTATGCCAATCACCAATTGATCGATAACCTTGATCGATCAATGCATTGTATGGTACCTAATAAATATAAAAAAAAGAAATAAATTTATTATCGTTATTATTTATTTTTTTTTTTTTTAAAAAAATATTAAAATGTCGAAAAATAAATTTTTTAAAAAACACAAACCTCATTTGCTCTAATGTAAGCTCGTACTTTTGGAAAATCCCAATGAGCCAATGGATTTATTTTTATTAAGCCAGTTCCACTTTCTATTTCCAATATATCAAGATTTTCTCGGTCACCTTTTTGACTACGACGACGACCAGTGATAACAGCTAAAACACCTAATTCTTCATACGCCCGTCTTGCGGGTTCAACCTTTATCAAATAATCATAACTATCTTCGTCAGTTTCCCAAAGCCTTTTGCCGTAAAGTCTTTCGAAATCTTGAACTGTGTTACAATCAACTGGTTTGTAAACGTGAAGTGGTACGTTATATTTTGATTTAACACGTTCGGTCAAATCTAATGTTTCTTGGAAATGATAAAGGGTATCAAGAAATATCAAAGGCACCAAATGTTGTGGGTTTGTCTCGTTTTCGTCAATTTCGTAACTTATTTTTGATATCATATCCATGATTGCAAGTCCTTTAAAAATTATAATAAAAATAATAGATTGTTATTATTTGTGTTGTTGTTAAAAAAAATTTCTCAACTAATTAATAATTTCATTACACGCGTTTATTACACTCGTTACGTTTATTTTTTTTATTAAAAAAATTTTTTTACCTGTAAGTCCAAATGCAGTAGTTTGATATAATCCTGGCAAAGTTAGTATTGCCCATTCCAATATCTTTTGAGGAGATAATTTTGCTAAACGTTCGTTAAGGAATTTTAAATGCGCCGGCGTAATTAACAAGTGCCTTTTATTTTCATTAGATTCAATTAATTTGCTCTTGTTGTGGTTTGACATTTTTCTTTTTTAATTTGTGCGTTTTGTAAATACTCGAGTGTATTATTATTATTAATTTTTTTTTTTTTAAATATAAAATAAAGATTTTTTTTTTTAAAGCGAATATTTTTTTTTTTGATGAAAAATTTTTTTCATGAGCTTTGAAGATTATATATATATATATATATTTTAAATATGGTAGTAGATTAAACTCTTTTTTTTACCATGCGTGTCTGTGTTGAGCCAGATCCAATAGAAGTTTGCGAAAATGGCGTCAATTCAAAAATTCTGATATAATCTTTTGTGACATTAAAAACATTAAAAACTAAATTTTATATTAAAAGAACACTTTATTGTCTATTTGAACATACATCATCATTCATTACTAATCATTTTTTTTTTTGTTCGATGGAAAGTTTATTTATGATAATTTATATGAAAAATTTTTTGATTAATAATTTACCGAAAAAAACTAATATTATTATTATCGGAATTAAGATAAAAAAATCATTTAAATTAGATGGTTACAATTTAATTAAATTAGCTAACTATAAGATGCATAATAATAACAATAAATAGTCAATGTAACGATATATAATCAATCAAATGTGTTGATTATCGTGCGTGCTCCATTTCTAGAATTTTTTTGCTTTAAAAAAAAGGAAAAAACGATCAACAACATATCTTCAAAAATGATACAAGGGAGATTTTCTAAAAAAGATATGAAATTCAGTGCGGGGTTTATGTCACATAATACAAACTTTGTAACATGATCTCCGCGGCATTATGAGATTTGACATAGTAAACTTGTGACTTAATCGCTCAATAATTATCAGCAAAACCATGTATGATTTCCAATTTTTGATCTGCAAGGCCAATGTGATTGTGTGTAGATGAACATATGAACATTGGATGGGATTCCTAGTTCCTGTTTATTATGTATTGATTATATTTACAAATTGCATCATCATTCACATGATGATTCTGAAATTTTTTTCAACTATATATAAGAGAATCCAAAGAAATCAAAAATGAAGGAGAAAATTAATTAATATTTATAAAATTAAAAAGAAATATTATTGATATTATCTAAACCTTACCTTATCCTATTATTCATGCAAAATAAAAAATCATAAAATCAAATGTTTATTGATAATAATAATATAATAATAATAATATTTTAATTAAAAATATAAGATTTTTAAAAATCAACAAAACATAAAGACAATATTTTATTACATTTAATAGCAACAGTAATAATAATTAAACTTGTTTTGGTTTTGATGGAGTGAAACAAAGGCCCCTGAACAATTGATCAATTAATTAATTATATTTACAAGTTTGATTTTTTTTTAATAAATAAATAAATTATTCCAATATAATTAAATAACTTTAATATTAATTACAATAACAATACAATTCTTGTTGTTACTATCTTTCCCTTTTCACCAGAGTTTTCTACCATCTTCATCAAAAGTATAATAAAAAATAGGATGCCTGAGAGCATCTCGAGCTGTTATTCTATAAATTGGATCATACTCTAAAAGTTGTTTAACAAGATCATAAAATAATCCTCGAAACGTACTTCTATCAGGATCAATGATTTCCTAATAATTGTATATAATTATAATTATAATTATAATTGAATGCTTGTTCTATATGTATGTTAATTATATATTACTAAATAAGAACTTACTTTTAATGTACGCATTGACTTTAGATATTTTAATCTTTTTTTGGTAGTGGCTTCACATGGATAATTAACCAAGTTATTTCCTCTAAAATACTTGGTCTGACATTGTCGACTAAATAAACAAGTATTTATATTAATAATTTGTCAATTAAATATTAGTAAATTGTCAAACAAATAAATAATTCATACTCTGTTTGTCGAATCAAACTATCCGAAATTTCTCCAAGAACATGTTCCATCATTGCTAGATGCTCTAGATTTTCATGTGTTTGGAAAAGTGCCTCGCCAGTAAATAGTTCTACAAGAATACATCCAATAGACCAAATATCACATGCATAAGACCATCCTAATCCTTTAATAAAATATTTTCAAGTTTTATTATTATTATTATTATTACAATAATGGGTGGTAATTATGATCTTTATGGACTAGTTCAATAGATCTCTCTACTTTTTGCATTCTTCCAATATATTTTATAAAAAAAAACAAAACAAACAAATACCTAGTATAACCTCTGGTGCTCTATAATGTCTTGTCGATACAACTGAGGAATGATATTCGTCATCGAATGTAGCACTGCCAAAGTCAATCAATCTAATGTCAGTATCAATAAGTATACGCTTTGGATTATCAGGTACTCTCTAGAAAAAAAGGTAGAAAATACAAATATTCATTTTATATTAATTTTATATTATATTCATGTAATAATTCATTAATAATTTATTAAAATTAAACTTACTCTAGATGATATCACTCTATAATCATCATTAACCAATAAAATATTTTCAGGCTTTAAATCAGTGTGTACCAATCGTAATGAATGCAAGACTATATATATATATATTTATATATATATATATATGTAGATAAATGGGCAAATCCAAAGTAAATATTTCTTTCCAAATAATAATAATAATAATAATAATAATAATAATAATAATAAAATAATAATAATAATAACAACAACAACAACCAACAATAATAATAAATTTTTCTTAAAAAACATACAAGCAACAGAATTCAATAATTGTCTTGCAACATCTTGTATTTGATTCATCGGAAATGGTGAAAAATTGTTGAGTTTTAGAAAATCAAAAAGTGATGATCCATATAAATCGAAGACCATACAAATATGATTACGATAATCAAACCAATCACGAAGATGAATACATTTGCTATATTATTAATTAATTGTTTAAGGAAAGAATCAATGATTATTTGTTAACATTAGCCATTCTCAATGTAATAATGATAATACATAAAAATAAATCGTAAAAATAGAACCTACTAGGCATTTGGTGGATCGCTATCTCTAAGAATATTTAATACTCTAATTTCAATTCGGCTAGCGTCCCGATACTTCTGAGTTGAACGAATGATCTTGATTGCTACAGTTCGGTTTGTAAGCCGATCAAGACATTGAACAACTTTTCCAAAGGTACCTTGTCCCAATATACGAATAATTTGATCTATATTAAAATAATGCAAATTAATCAACAATTAAAATATTAGCCGAATTATCTTGTCACAAGTATATCATTATATCATCATTTAATCAAGAGAGAAAAAATATTTATTTACATCTTGGTGTTAGATCTTCTCCAATTCTAACAATGTAATGACCATCTTTATCATCGTGATTAGGTATTATTGCCTGACATGAAGATGTAACAGAAGAAGAATGAGACTGAAATTAAAATTTATAATCAAAATATTAAAAAAATCCCAATATTATTGTTGATAAAATATATATATATATATTTAATGATTACAGAAATCTTAACATGTGAAATCATGGTAATTTGTTTCCAAGTAATAAAAAATTAATCAATAATCCATAATTAACTCGAAATCAAAATTTTTATTAATTAATTAATTAATTTAATAAATACCTCTCTAACCGTATAAGGTTCTCTGTAATGTACAGAAGTATGAGAACCAGTAGAAATGTATGATGATGGATGATGATAATGATGATAATTCATATCAATATATTGGGAATGATAATTATTAGGGATTTCCGCTGCTTTTCTTCTTCTTTTATTATAAGCAGGTGTTATTGCTTCAAATTGTGACGATGATAGTGGTATGTATTGATGATTTATGCTTTCGTCGTCAGGAAGAAGTGAAGCTTTTCTCTTAAATGTTCTTGTTTCAATTTGTCTAGTTTGTCTAGGTGGTGGTATAGGGGAAACATGTCTGATTTGTTGTAGTTGAAGTTGTGGTAATTGTGGTAATTGATGTAGTAGTTGTGAAGGAGTTGGTGAGTCTGTAATGACAATAACATCTTTTTCATCAGGCCGTCCATTTCGATAAAAATCTTCATGCCAATTAGGATTTGGCAAACGTATTCTTCTAGGTTTATAAGGTCTGGTGATTGCATTTATATTATAATTTGTCGCCATTTTTTTAATTTTTTTAATATTATTATTATTATTATTATTATTATTATTATTAATTATTATTAATTATGTGTGTAGGAAATTTTTTTTATGTGAAAATTTTATGAATATGAATATATTAACAACATGTATTAATATGGTATAATGCAAATGACGCCACAGAATAATTTTTGTGGGACAAAGCGTTGAAAACGCCACACTCCAATCATTCAATAAACTCCAAAGTATAAGCCGAGTAAGGTATTATTCTTTGCTTTAAAAGATACTCTATATAAAAATACTTAATTTACATGATACCCAATATTAGAAATATATTTAAAAAAGAACAAGGTGAAAAAATTGTCCCTAATGTATTTGTTTTGAAGATTATCAAAGGAAAAAGAAAATCACCTATGGAGTTTACCAAGAAGAAAGAAAATAATGAATACTAGGAAAAGAAAGCAAAATGAAATTACCTAATAAAAAAGCAGAAATCTTTGACAAATAATTGTGGATTTTCTTTTTAGTTTTTTGAAAAAATATAATAAATAATAATAATAGTTGCAACCACTAATCACAGATTTATCATCATCAACTTCTTCTTCTCTCTTTGTATATATGTATGTTCTGAGGCATGGTTATTATATTTTGCTACTGCATTTTCAAAAGTTTCATTCTTTAAATAAATCATTGGCACCGGCTTCTAGATGATGAATATTTGGGACTTGCAAATAATCCGCGCATTTGTAGAAAAGGTTTTCTGTGATTCAGTTATTATAGATAAATTGCCATCAATAAGATATCAAAGTCAAGGTGCCTTTCTTTAATTCAATCCCACTAGTAAGGAAAATAGTCTTCTCCTTTCCTAGGAAGAGGTGTGATTTCTGTTACCTCAATTTCACATTGGGAAATTTGCCAAAATACTTGCAAATTTATTTCTCTTTCCAGGATTGCCCGTAGGCAGATACTTTCTCTTGATAAAGCCAGCAACAATCACCAACTCACTAATCAAGTTTTCTTTTAGAGCCAAGAGCAATTCCTTGCTAACAAAAAGAAAAGGTACTCTATCGTATATATCTTTTGGATTTCTTTTTCTTTTCTCTTATCATAGTCCCTAAATTTTACAAAGAAACAATAAATTGATAAATCAAATAAATAGCTTGCATCGCTCAGGTAATAATAATACCAGGACAATGCAAAAAATAAAACATTAAGAACCAAATTTTAAAAAGGTCACATAGTGTCCTTACAAGTAAAATTTTGCAGAGTTGGAAAATAAACCTTTGATATTTTAATTCAAACTTCATTTCCATGTAGGATAAAAGTTACATCGCCTTGTCACCCAAGTGATAGCGGAAAATTTTAATAGTCAAGTCTACTTGGATCCCTTCCTGATTGTATACAATTGCAAGTTGTAGAGTCCTTAAAAAAATATTTTCCAATAAATGAAATGAGTAATATTAAATCTATCATATCGATAGATTTAATAGAACGAACTATCCTTTCCCTGTCTATGCAAGTGTCTTCTTGTCACCCTGGTTAAAGAATCTAAGGCAGCTTGTAGTGCAGATTTAGCACGGTTTCAATAAGTTCGCGTTTTCCTCACGGGGTTGTTGTCACAGAAGATCTCAATGGGTATATACTCCAGAATCATTCTACATGTATAATAACTTGTGAATAAAATTATAGATAAATTAAATAAAATTAATGATTTTCAAAGTCATCATTGAAATTATTTTAATTCGTACCTTTGCAACATAAGTCATCATTTGAGTTAAAAAATCATGATATGAAATTAGAACATTAGAATGATATTTAATAGTCCAAAAATTATGTACTTACGTTAGTCCACATATCTTTTTTCTACAATTTGATCATAAAGAAAGAGAAACAAAAAACGCAATTTCATTTAAGATTCACAGCCTCCATGTCACGCTAAACCTTCTGTTACATTATATCCATCAGAATAAAATTTTTTTAATAATCTTAATAATGGTAAACAAGTAAATTATCGGTTTTTGACAATCTGTCTGTTAAAATGATATAAATGAATTGCATTTATGTATATAACACGTGTTTATGTAAGGATCACTAAAAATGTTGATCGTTCGTTGTTGATTAATTGAACTAGGCTAGCAAGAATTTTTATTAAGGGTAGAGTGTAGTCATGTGATTTTATTAATGATCAGCAAAGATAATAATTCGAAATTTAATCACTAATCAAGTCACTAAACTTTCTTGTTGAAGTGTGGTTACAATTATTAAATGTTGTTCTTAGGAATTAACAGCCACATGGAAAGAAAATGCGGTGATCTGTCGGCTCAAACGGTCTAATTCAATTAGATACGGGGGGTATTTGTTTTTTTTTTTAAATTGTTTATTTATTTTACTATGTAAATTTATTTGAAATAACCAATAAAAAATAACATTACGATGACATCGGAAAAAAAAAAAAAAAAGAAATTTAATCACTAATAATAATAATAAACATACATCGTTAAATCTCAAAAAAAAAACCAAATTTATTTAAGTCTTTACCAATGAGTTCTCAGCGATATTAGACTTATTAGTATGTAAATTTGGAAGCATTAAATACAGCCTAATTTAAAAATAGAGTTTTTCCGAAATGTTACTATCAACCAGATGAGATATCCCATGTTTAAAAATAGAATTTTTCCAAAATGTTGCTATCAACTAAGATGATTTAAAGGAAGTCAATAACAAGATAATAATGTATACTATTTGTTCTACCTATTGTTATATCAAAATGAAGGAGCTTTCTTGGCGTATAAGTGACCCATTAATCCAAAAAAAACGTTAAAATGAAAATTTTAAAACACAAAGCTAAATATATGTAAATTTATATAAATTACCCCGTTAAACTGTAATTTTTACTTTTTAATACATATATCCTGTTAATCCAAAGAAAAGTGCCCTCACAAACGCCTTCGGATTAACAGGTTGCCTACAGTCACAGCGGACTATAATCAAATTCTTGTTGTAACTAGATGTTGGAATTGTCCAAAAAATCCTTAGTCGACTACTAGTTGGCACTTTGTCTGGTTTTGTTGCAGCATGCCCCCCAGAAAAAGGGTTAAAGTCAGATGATCAGAAATTTTAATAATTTATCTATACCTTGTCGATCGACCAATCAAATTTAAGCCCGCTATGCTGGTTTTTGCTAGAAAACCCCCATATATACTTATATCCGGTTTTTGCTAGAAAACCCCCCAATTATTTTTATTTATTTATTTTTTTGTCGATCTTTTAATATGAAATTTCCCCCGTATTTTTATAATAAATTGATCGGCATTTCTCTGATTCATAGGCGAATCATCAATTTGTGGAATTCATGAAGACTAAGTCACGTCACAGAACGTGTCAGCTATCAGCTTCGTTAAATCTATTTTCTCGTTTTCGATTCCTGGATCAAATTCTTGTCTACTGTTCGTACCACTACATCGAACCATTATGTATCATTTCCCGATATTCTGTGCCTTTATAATAAATCTATCTAGTCCACCAATTCTTATCCTACAGTAATAAAAATAGTATCGAATGTGAAACTTCCACTTGATGTTAATGGTTGGGGGGATTTTTAAAATTTTTATTTAAAAGAATATTCTTTTTTTATAAACAAATAAATTCATTGTATCCGTAGTGTAATGTTTGTCGAACGAGCATCCAAAAATAGGTATTTGATTTAATGTTTAATTTGTTATTGTTATTCTACTATACAGTCTGTTAAGCCATATATAGAATTTATTTTAAATTTTTTTCTAGCGAATAATAATTTGGATTAATATTTTTCAATCTTATTTAAATAAAAATACGAGTGCTGGACAGGACAATAATAATATAGACAATATTAATATAAAAATGGAAGAACAAATGGCTACAACAAAAAATACAAAAAATACTGATAATATAATTATTAGTGATGCTCAAACTTCTGCTCTTTCTCCATTCACTTCCATAATTGATAACATATTGAAACAAAGTCCTATATCAACAATAGCTGGCGAAGTTGAGGATGGAAACCATAAAAAATCAATAAAAAGTAATGACGACAAATGCAATCATGATGACAATAACAACAATAATGATCATTCATCATCAGATGTTGAACCTTCACAACAACCTTTTCCTTTCACCCCTCACCTACTTTATCATTTATTTGATCAAAAAAACTTGAGATTACTAAAAATTTTTGGTGGAACTGATGGTATAATAAAAGGTTTACACACAAATATTGAAACTGGTCTAAGTAATGATGAAATAGCTCCTCTAGATCCTATACCACTAGATACAATATCAGAAATCACAAATAATGATGACGCTGAATACTTGGAGAGATTTAAATCTGAAAAGTCTACTGCCACTCCTATAATAATAACTGATCAACAACCCACTTATTTTTGTCAAAGAAAAATGGCTTTTGGTACTAATGTCTTGCCCCCCAAAAAAACAAAATCTATATTTATGTTAATGTGGATGGCCATGCAAGAAAAAATTTTGGTCCTGTTGGCTATTGCTGCAATCATTTCATTAGGTCTTGGTTTATACGAGGATCTCCGTCCAAATGCTGATCCAGATAAGCCAAAAGTAAGTTGGGTGGAGGGTGTTGCTATAATTGTTGCTATCATGATAGTTGTCTTGGTCGGAAGTATAAATGATTGGCAGAAAGAACGTCAATTTCAGAAATTAAATGCTAAAAAAGAAGATCGTTGTGTAATAGCTACAAGAAATGGCAAAGAATCCATATTGTCTGTTCATGATATTTTAGTTGGCGATATACTACATTTAGGGCCTGGAGATATAGTAGCTGCTGATGGTATACTGGTATTAGGTCATAATCTTCAATGTGATGAGTCTGCCGCAACAGGTGAAAGTGATGCTGTAAAAAAAATTAAATATGAAGATATAAGGAATATCAGTGAACAATTATCATCTGAATCAACAAGCAACCAGCCTCATCAAAATATAACTCACATAAAAGCTGATCCTTTTATAATCAGTGGGAGCAAGGTTATAGAGGGTGTAGGGTCTTATGTTGTCACTTGTGTTGGTACGAATTCTTACCATGGTCGTACAATGATGTCCCTTAGATCAGAACCAGAAGATACCCCACTTCAAATCAAGTTAAATGATCTTGCTGAAAAAATCGCAAAACTTGGTGGTGCTTCTGCGTTACTTATGCTCATGGTTTTATTAATGGAATATTTTGTTAAATTTCATAATGGAATTCCTGGCTCTGCTTGTGAAATTTTAGAAACTTTAACTAGAATCTTTATATCTACTGTGATTGTGGTAGTGGTTGCCATACCAGAAGGTTTACCATTAGCCGCAACTTTAGGTAAATAATTATTAATAATTACAAAATTTTATTTATTTTATAATAATTATTTTATTATTTAACAATTAATTAATAATAGCACTTGCTTATGCAACAACACATATGCTTAAGGATAATAATCTTGTTCGCGTTTTAGCTGCTTGTGAAACAATGGGCAATGCTACCATTATATGTTCAAATAAAACTGGAACATTAACTCAAAACAAAATGACTGTAGTTGCTGTAACAATTGGTTTATCAAAGTCTTTTGTAAGGAATGTTGAAGCTAATGCTGTCATACTTGGAAATGATCCTTCTCAAAACAATCTACCAATGATACTACAAAATCCCATTCCTTTAAAAAATTTGGTAAAAGAATTACCCACTGAATCACTTAAATTATTAGAAGAATCAATAGCTATAAATTCGACAGCATTTGAAGGTGAAAAGTTGGGGGATGGTAAAATAAATTTTGTTGGTTCGAAAATTGATGCTGCTTTATTGAGTCTTCTTTATGATTTAAATCTGGAAAACTATAAATCATTAAGAGAGTCTTCTAAAATTCAACAGATTTACCCATTTGGTTCTGAACGTAAAGCAATGGGTATAGTAGTAAAATTAAATGATAATAAATTTAGATTCTTAATAAAAGGTGCCAGTGAAGTTTTGCTTAAAAACGCAACAAAAACAATTAAACTAACCAATAAATTATTTGATAGTAATGCTTATGTGGTTGATTTAGTAGATGGGGATAATGAAATGCTTCATAAAATAATAGATCATTATGCCACCCAAAGTTTAACGACTATTGCTATAGCTTATCGTGATTTTGATGAATGGCCACCAAAAAACATGGCTGCTGATGATGGGTGTGAAGTTAAATTTGAAAATTTGACAGAAAATATAACATTGGTAGGCATAATGGGCATTAAGGATCCATTAAGATCTGGTGCAAGAGAAGCTGTCTTGGATTGTAAAAAGGCAGGTGTGAGAGTTTGTATGGTGACTGGTGACAATCTTCTAACAGCAAAATCTATTGCATCTCAATGTGATATATATAATGATGGCAAAGTTATGGAGGGCCCAATGTTTCGTAATCTTTCATCTGAAGAAATGCACAACGTTGTACCAAAATTACAGATTCTTGCGAGGTCTAGTCCTGAAGACAAAAAAATTTTGGTTGATTTTTTAAGAGAAATGGGTGAAGTTGTTGCTGTTACTGGTGATGGTGCAAATGATGGGCCTGCTCTTAAAACAGCTAATGTTGGTTTCTCAATGGGTATTGCTGGTACTGAGGTAGCGAAGGAAGCATCTTCAATTATTTTAATGGATGATAACTTTGCAAGTATAGTTAAAGCCATTATGTGGGGAAGATGTGTAAATGATTCTGTGAAAAAGTTTTTACAATTTCAATTAACAGTCAATGTCGCAGCAGTAGTCTTGATGTTTATATCTGCTGTGTCAAGCAGTGATCAAAAGTCTGTTCTTACTGCTGTACAACTATTATGGGTTAATCTTATCATGGATACTCTTGCCACATTTGCACTTGCTACTGATTCACCAATACCTGAACTATTAAATCGTAACCCTGAACCTAAAACTGCATCTCTTATAACTTTTGATGTGTGGAAAATGATACTCAGTCAAAGTCTTTTTCAATTGGTGATAACATTGGTTTTATTCTATGCTGGTGATGGTATCTTAAATTATGATTCACTTGATGATAGAGAAATAGCTAAATTGAGATTGGGAACTGTTATATTTAATACTTTTGTTTTCTTACAAATTTTTAATGGAATCAAGTAAGTAAAAAAAATTTTCTTAAAAAAAAAAAAATAATAATTACATTATTAATTTGCCTTTCCATTCCTTTTGTAGTTGTCATTGTTTAAAATATAAATTGAATATATTCAAAAATGGAACAGCAAATAAAATTTTAATGATCATATTTTTTGTAACGGTTGCTGGACAAATACTTGTAATTGAATTTGGTAGTGTAGCATTTCACACTACCCATCTTAATATATTCGAGTGGTTATTGTGTATAATAGCTGGATTTGTGTCAATACCATTTGGAATTATAATTCAATTAATACCTAATGAATTTTTCATATGTTATACCAAACCTGACAACACAACGTCAGATATATCAATCAATAGGAATTCACCACCATATTCAGTTATGATACCAGAACAGAAATGTTACAAAGCAATTCTTAAAGCCCAAAATCAATTGGGAGTTTTTAAGACATTTCGTGGTGGCAGATTTGGAGCTTTTGAAACAAGATCAAATACTTTTACAGCAGCTGCAATGGTTCCAACTTTGACATCTGCATCAGTTGGAGCAGGATTGGTACCAGCACAATGTATTGATGGGAATAATCCAAGTGCCACTCAATTAGATTTTACTACTATCAAATCAATATCAAGGAAACAAATTTTTCAAGGTGGATCTCCTAGTAGTAATAATAGTGCATTTCGATAACATAAAAGAAATTCATAAAGTTGTATGATTTTATTTATTTCTTTTTTTTTTAAAAAAACAAAAAAGAAAAAAAAGGAAATAGAAATAGGCAAAGTATATAGAATAGTGGAATTTTGTTTTTCGAAATTATAACATTACACAATCTACACAATCTTTATTTATATATATATATATATATATGGAAAATAATTTAACTGTAAATATTTTAACTTATAATTATAAATAATTAAACAATTTATTTTTTTAAACATGTCTTGCAATCCTAATCAAGGTCCTTGCTCGGTTACTGGTTGTGAAAATTCAGGCCCTTACAGAAACTTTAATAAAACTGTTTATACAAATCAATTGATTCTAATTTTGATTATTTGATAGTTGATGGATCACAATTATGTTCTCTTGTTATTTGCAAGCATGTGAGCCTACTAATGGGAAAAAATACATTCCTTTCATCAGAAAAATAAATCTTACATAAACCTACGTAGGGTTCAGAATTGGCCAGCATTATGTCGATATTTTGGTAATTCTGTTAACATTTTTAAACCCTGCGTAGGTTTATGTAAGATTTATTTTCCTGATGTTTGAAAACCAAAATATCAATGACAAAATAATATTTTTACCATTAATTCGCAGATTGTTTATCAACCAATATAAAATTTCGGGGCACATTTACTAATTAAGAGAAATGATTTACTTGTTTGTATTGTTAGCTCTGTCGATCTTATATAAAAAATTCCCTGATTGATAAGATTGATAAATGATTTGCGAATTAAGAATTTATTAGTAGTATTAGTATTAGTATTAGTATTAGACAATTAAAAACACTATTTCGAATGATATTTATATTAATATTACTGATGACTCTATAACAATGTAAAAATAATTGAACAACAGAATGAAATAATATTAATTGAAGAGAAAATGGAGCCTGAAATTGAAGAAGATAATTGTATCCAAAATATAAAATTTATCAACTTCAAGAAAACTCATTACTATTGCTATTTAGAATCTAAGAATTAAAGGCCCGCTACAATTTAGAATTCATCCTCAATAATTTCCATAAGTTAATTGGTTTATAGCAGTGATTGAGTAACAATATCAAATTGGACCGGTTTGGATTCTTGATCAGTTTTCCGATTTTCTTTTCGTGCAACTTTCACAAATCATTTATTAATTTTCCGTGATCCATAAGTTACTATATATTATTATTATTTACACCGCCCTTCCTTACATTTCTTATTAAAAAAAAAAAACAAAACTCTAACATATTTTCAATTAATTCTTTTATAAAAATGGAAGGAGAAGATAATGATGAGATATCAGAAAATAATACTGAAAATCCAATTACTATTGAACAACAAACTATAATTAATCCACATAATGGATGTCCCATTGATGAAATAAAATGTAGTCCTGATCATAAGTTTTTAATAACTCTTAGTAAACAAAATAGATCTCTTGGATCTATTGCTGTATGGACAGTTGACAAAGGAGCAATCCTACAAGATAACAAAGATTATTCTTTTCTTATTTCTTGTCTTTCTTATATAGAAAAGGTACACATAATAGATGTTTCTAATAAATATATGCTTATATGTGATGGTTTTCAACGTAGTAGTAAGTAAATATGACTATTTATTATGTGTATTATATTATAGGCAATAAACAGTAATAAAAATTTGCATCATTTAAAAACTAATTCTATAGGGTTACTTGATCTTTCAAAAAAGGTCATATCTTCTTATCCAATTATTAGTAAATGTGGGGGGTTCATTACAGATAATGGTTTTATAATAATAGGATGGGATTATTTATACAGTTATTCATATAATGAAAATAGTGAATTGGTTCATAAATCAAAATATCACATTTACAGTTATGATTATTATAGAAAATATACAGGTTATTTTGTAAATCCTAATTATCTTCTATTAAGTGATAAGTTTTCATTATTATCACAATGGAAATTGAAACCAACAACTACATCATATCAAGATAGTTGTTATTTAATATGTAAAAAAAATCATACTGATATAATATTTAATCAAGGCAAAACAATGATGACATTATATTATAAAAATACTTCAAAAATAATAGTTTATTCAATAAAACATAATATTATTATTTCTTCATGTAAGTATTGTTTGTTTGTTTGTTTATTTATTTATTTTATCTGTTTATTTATTTATACACCATATTTATTTATTTATTTATTTATTTTTTATCTTACAGTTGAATTGGAAAAAAATATCACTGTTAAAAAATTAGATTTTATGGTTATCAAAAGTCAATTAGAATGTTTATTATTAATATTGTATAATATAAATACAAATAATTACATTTGTAAATTAATGGATCCTTATAATTTAGATAACTCTGTAGATATTACTGAATATTTTAATGTATATGTTATAGGAAATATATACAAAGATAAAAATAATATCATATTTGGACCAACCATATCAGATAATAAAATAGTTATGGCTATCAAAAATCAAATTTACATTAAAGAAATTAACAAAGAAACATTAGACACTGTTCAACAAATATGTGTAAAAAATAGGTATTTATATATAGGACAAACATTAAGTGAAATATATGAAAAACTTAATGACAAGGATTATGAAACACCAAAAGAATTTGATATTGAACCAGGCAAAACTATTAAATGGTCAGTAGAGTATGAAAAAGATTTTCAAAATATTAATATAAAAGCTCAAAAAATTGATAATGAAATAGAAGAGAAATTTCTAACAATTGATGAATATGCTTTTAAGAATTTTGAAAAATTTAAATATTGTAAATTACTGAATAATGATGATTTAATTTTAATAACAACCTATTATATATGGATTTTGTCATTTAATAATCAAAGTTCTAAAATAACTACAAAGTATATTGTTAAAGAAAGATATCATTGTAGTTACAAAGGAGGACACAGGACTGGTAATGGAAAAGAAATATTAAAAAAAATCAAAACAGCTATAGACAATAATAATATTGAAGACTATTTATTTAATTTTGATGATGTTACTGAAAATGATTGTTCATATATTGATAGACATCAAATTTCCAGACAACCTTATAAAGAAATGATTTTATATATGTTGGATGATTTATATAATTTCAGACACGGAGAAAAATTTTTAGGATTAGCATTAAAAGTAAATGATAGCATATTTGTAGAAGAATTATTTGATTCCTGTCTTAAATATTTTAAAAAGGATACTGTGTCAAATATTAGTTTATTAAAAATAATTATATCAGAATTACCAAGATTACAAAAAAATCATCAAAAATTGTCAAAATTCTTTAATCAAACTTCAATGATATTATTTCCATTTAATGATAACATTTTTAGTGAGGTAATTGTTTATAATGCAATGGTCAATGAAAATTTTATTTATAAAAAGAAAAGCTTTTGGTATTTTTTTCTAAAGTTTGAAAGGCTTAGAATAGACAAAAAAGGAATATTTGGAATATTTGAAAAATTTAGAAGAATTTTATACAAAAATTTCAATAAAGATAATGCTAAACCTTGTGTAAAACTGATAATTCCATATCCTGGATTACTTACATACAAACCATACAAAACCAAATATTCATTATTGAAAGAATTATTATATAAGCCAGATAATAGTATATTTGTTGAATTAGTTGTATTGGATACTTTAGAATTATACAAGCATTTGAATATTGAACTAATTTTGGATCATAAATGGAACACTTTTGGATTTGGTTATTATATTGGAATATTGATTTTTTATATAGTATTTTTATTAAGCTTTGTTATTGCAACTTCCACTTCACAATATCAGTTATCTGATGATAATAGAAATTCATTATTAACAACAACAATTGTCCTTGGAGCAATTCATCTCACAGTAGAAGTTAGACAATTTATCTGGAAACCATTGAAATATATCACAGATTTCTGGAATTACTTTGGTGTGATGTTATTTTATTATTATCATTTTTATTAATTGTTAATAATTAATTAATTTTTAATAATAATATTATATTAATTATTAATAGATCTAGGTGCCTATTCCTTAGCAATTATTACTTCAATTCTATGGTTACATTATAATATTCCACCACCTGTTCAACTGATTTCTGCATCAAATTTATTATTGGATTTAAGATTAATGTTATTTTTAAGGGTTTTTAAACATTTTGGAGCATATTTTGCCATTATTATAGAAGTTGCTAAAAGAGTCTTTTGGTTCTTAATTATAATAATGATAATCATTTTAAGCTTTTCACATGCATTTTTTTTATTATTGAAACCAAGACAAAATTTTGCATTAGACAACCCTGATTTCAATGATGATACCAACAATCCTTGGAACCTTGTTAATAAATATTATACATATTTTGCAAACAACAATTCATATAATCAAGATACATTTCTTGTACAACAACCTGATGATAATACAAACATGTTTGCACAATTTCCTTCTTCAATCCTGGCAATGTATAATTTCCTTGCAGGTAGTAATTATATACTGTATATTTCATTAAAATAATAATCAAGTTGAATAATTTAATTTGTTTGATTTCTTTATTAGGAGATAAGGGAGCATTTGGATCCTGGGTGTTGCAAGATGATACATATCTTGTAATATTAGTAGTTGCATTTTCATTCATAGTTGTGGTATACCTAATGAACCTATTCATTGGTTTACTTAGCAATGAAATTGAACATTATAATACAAGAGAGGCATTCTTGGCTCAAAGAGCAAAAATTATCATAGAGATTGAATTATTTTATTTATTTCCTAATCAACGTCGTTGGAGAAACTGGTTTCCAAATATATTGTAAATACAATAATAATCATTTAATCAATTAAATCATTTTTGATGAATTTCTTCTAATAATTATTTAAAAATTCTTTTGTTAGACATTATGATGCACCAATTGATGACATTCATAAAAAGATCAAAGAAGTAGATGATAGCAATGAGGATGCAGAATATCTCCCATATATTTCTGATAGGCT